TCTTTCCCTGCGCTGTCCTTCCTGGTGAGACGCACGTCCCTCTCCCTGCGGCCCAGCTCCTCCGGCTCCGGACCGGGATGGAGAGCGGTCCTGTGTGCAGGTGACGCTCAGCCCTGGGCGGGCCAGAGCACCAGACCTGGCACGGGCTCAGAAAGCCCTGGTCTTAAATAAGCGGAGGCATTTGGCGCTGGAGATCGCAGCGTCCCGACCCCTGGCTCTGTGGCTCTCCTGGCTTCCCGGAGAGCTTCCATGATGTCCCGATCTGGGCATCGCCTTCCCAGCCCTGGCAGGGCAGCAGAGCCTGGTGTAGGCACCTTCTCCTGGGGAGGCTGCGGCTGCAGAGCCATGGCCGAGGAGTCTGAAATTCCCCGCTGCGATCCATCCCCTGCCACGGCTTTATTACCTGGAAGCTTGGCCTGGCTGCCTGCAATGACGCCACTGCTCCACTGCAGAGGAGGTGCTGCCTGCAGCGGCTGCCTGCCTCGCCCTGCTGCCTGGACCGGGGTGCTGGGCTGCGGTGCACTGGGGCTGTCATGGGCCCTTTTAAATCTGCCTCTCCCCGTCTTCGGGACCTGCCCTCCCCAGCTAACAGCCCTGCAGAGCGTGGGGTGCTTGGGGTGGCTTTCCTGCAGCCACCTTGACCCCGGGCTCTGCGGAGCTTCCGTCCTCGCAGAGGGTGCCCGGTGCTCGTGCCGTACCCCTGGAGGACCCGCTCCTATGGGAAGTCCTGCTGGGGGTGCAGAGCCTGGCAACTGTGGTCATCTCGGGGGGTACATGAGACATCCTCCTGCCATGGTCCTGGGATCCCCAGCGCCCCACCAGCACCTGGGCACGCTGCCGTGGTCTCCAGGGTTGGGGGTGGGAGGGCTGAGCTTGCCCCGTCCCCTTTCTCCTCCACGTGGACCGGATATTTTCAAGAGAAGAATCTTTCCTACGAGGCTCTCCAGCTGCCAGGAATGTGCGTCTAGGAATGCCCAGGGCCCATCCAAGAACAACTTCCAGACGTGAGGCTGAGTGACGGCAGTCCCTCGCTTCGGGGCTCCAGACTCCCCCGCGCTCGCTCGGAGGACGCAGCTCGCCGGAGGCGATGCGTTAACGACACGGGAGGCAGCCGTGCCGCCGAGTGGGTGGGTGGGAGGCGAGCGGAGGGGAGGGATGGGGTTGTCGCTACTGGGCTGCTTCGGCACCGTTAAGAAACTCCGTCTGGGAGGAATTTGCTCCTTCCTCCACACTGCGGGGCTGTGGGGGATGCAGATCCCACTGCTGGGGATTAGCCCCGTGGGGGAGCCGCAGCCCGGCCGTGGTGGCCCCAGGCATGTGCGTCCCTGCGGGATTTTGCCAGGGCTGAGACCCCGGTCCTGACCTACCCGACAGCACCGTCAGTGCTCTGGGGTTTGCTCCCTGCCCCAGAACAACCAGAGCTAGGGACACCTGGTCGGGGCCTCCCAGTGTCCTCCCCAGCGGTCACTGGGGTGTCTGTGCCAGGCACGTAAGCACCGGGGACGGGACGAGCGCATGGGGCATCCTGCCGGCACTGAGCCCATCCTTGCCGGGCCGTGCCAGCAGGTGCTGCCCAGCCGGTGCTGCATGGGGCATCTCCCACTTCGAGGTCCAGGCTGGGGCAGGAGCTCCCGGGCGTCCTCGCAGCATGCAGCCAGGGTGTGCTCCCGCGTGGCCAGCACGGGACCCCGAGGCTCGCGTTTGAGGGGAAAATGTTCCAGGCCTGCTGGGATCCTGTCTGTGCTCCTGGCAAGAGCTTCGCCCAGGGATTCCTGCGTCAAGTCCGCAGCTCCTGGCGGAGCTGAGCTGGCCTTCGGGAAGAGACGCCCAGTCTGGGCTTCCAGGCTCCAGGCAAGGCAGCCCTCCCTGCGCAGCAGCCCAGGGTGTTAAAAATACTTGCCTGTCTCTACGCTGACCGCGTCTCTACAGCTGAAGGCCATCACTGCCCAGCCTGCCTGCCCCCCCGGAGGTGAAGCAGAGCGGCTCCAGCGCCGCTGCCTGCAGGCTGGGTGGGCAGCACTGCTGCGTCCCCTCCCCTGCTTCTCCCCAGGGGCTCAGTGCCACGTGTGGCACTGCCCAGCTCCTGCTCCCAGGGCCTTGCGTCCCAGCCTCGCCGCTGCCGGCAGGGACCCCTGCAACCGAGTGAGCCGTGCAGCGGTGTGAGCACATGAGCACGCTGCTCCAGGAGCACGTACTGCTAGAAACACAGCAGGGTGCAGCTGGACAGACAGCCGTACGCCTCTGCCTGGCGAGCGTGCCTCGTGCTGCCCGGGAGCGCCGGAGTCACGCTCGGTGCTGAGAACAGGAGCCAGCCCCAAGCGTCGGTTGTCACTGACCCCGTCGCCGGTCCCTCGTCCTGCGCAGGTCCCAGGGGCTGCTGCGAGCGGGCAGCGGGGTGGAGCGGTCCCCGTGCCTGTGGGGCCTCCTGCCTCTGCCTGGCAGCCCCTCAGGGAGCCGGCGGCGGCTGCGCCGTTGCTCTTTGCTGCAATCTCCTTCCCAGGTGAGGCAGCAGCTCCAGCCCCGGCAGACACGGTGGCTGCAAGCTCGTGCCTGGCCCAGAGCTGGCAGCACTGCACGGGTGGCGTGGCTGCCTGCGGCGAGGAGAGCGGTGGGCATCGGGCATCTCACTGCCATCACCTGGGGCCGTGCTGGGGCATCCCAGGGGCAGGTGGCTGCAGGGCAGCCTGCACCGGGCTCCCGGAGGCCTCTTGGATAACGGCTTTCCCGCTGCCAGCCACAGGATGAGGCTTCCAGAGCCAATATCCCCGTGTCTGTCTGTCTGTCTGTCTGTCTGCACGAGCCTCAGCTGGGCAGCTGCAGAGGGCAGTGACCCAGGGGAGCTCAGCCCGCAGATGCAGGGGCTCTGCCGGCTCAGTCCCAGGTGGTCCAGGAAGCCGCCGGGGTCTCGGCCGTGCCCCAGCAGCACGCAGCCTCCAGCCAAGCGCAGCACCGGCTTCCCAGGACTGGGTCAGCCCTTGCTGGTGCTGAGGGGAAAATTCCTGCCCGGATCCCCGCGGGGGTTGCGCACGTCCTGCGCTGACTCTGCTCGGAGAGCGGTGGATGGGTCCGGGCTGGCCCCAGGGGCTCCTGCCGGCTCTGCCTTCCTGGGGCTCCAGGCGTCGGTCGGTGGGAGGCTCCGTGTCGTTTGCAAGTGTTTATGGGGACCAGATGGTGCTGCGGGGCGAGGGTGACCCCTGACTGCGGGGTGTACGGGGCACAGGTCGCCTTCACACCTTCGTCCCTCTGTGGCTGTAATTGGGGAGGGGGTCTCTGCCTTCTGCAACGTGAGGGCAGCTGGGAGAAGGAGGGCCCTTGCTCCCCGCTCCTGCCCGACCCCGCCAGCCCCGAGGAGCAGGATGCGGCCGGTGCAGGCGAGGAGCAGGGGCTGGCGCTGGGGAGCAGGCAGGACCACCTACCTGCCCAGCGTCTGCCTGACCCCTGCCCGTCGGGTCGCATCCTGCCCTCATGTAGCTGCAGGGGCTCCGTGCCCAAGGTACGCCGTGGCTTTGCTGTCAACGGTGCTGAGTCTGGAGGCCTGCGTTGCCCACAGAAGTGCCCAATCGCCACCGGGACCCCCTCGGTGCTTTGGTGATGTGCCGTGGCTGCGAGCGCTGCCGCCGGTCTGTGGGTTGAGCGAGAGCAATTTTGTGACCGGGTTTGAATCTCCCACCTTTGCCGAACATCCCCTCGCTCCTGTCCAGGGGGGTGCAGAGCGAAACCTCCCCATCTGCCCCCTCTCTGCCTGTGGGCTTGGCATCAGGCCCCAGCTGGAGCCATCCCCAGGGCCCAGATGCGCTGGGGCAGCAGGTCCCGATGGGGAGCCAGCGGGAGTCCGGAGCCCCCTCAGGGGCTGGTTCCTGCCCCCAGCCGCCGGTAAAGGGAAGCAAAGCAGCTCCCATGTTTCCTCCGTCCGCAGCCTCCGTTGGTCCAAGGACGGCAGCAGGTCAGGGACAGGTGATCTCCGCAGCACGTCCCCATGCGAGCTGCTCATGGGGATGGGGGCAGCCGTCCCCCATGCTCCCCACCGGTGTCAGGGACAGGAGATGTGGAGCCCAGCAGCATCCCTGAAACGTGCCCGCGGTGCCGGCTGGCCCGCTTCACCAGCGCACCATGATGCCAGGAGCTGCTCCTGCTCCAGAGCTGCAGGACCCGTGGCCACGTGCAGACCCCGGTGGCCATGGGGCCAAGGGGAGGGATGAAGCCACCGGTGCGTTGGGGGCAGCTGCCTGCTCCCGGTGCAGGCAGCCAAGAAAGGCAGCGGCTGGCCGGGTGTGCGTGTGCCTGCACGTGCGTGCGTGCGTGTGCAGGGGGAGCAGGCCTGGCAGCTGGCGATCGGAAAATGTGAGGCACGCTCCTGTCTGCGGGACGGACGCAGGAATGTGCTCAGCTGCGGCTCTGCTGACCGCCCGCAGCCCCCTGCCCGCGCGCTCCAGCAGGCAGCTGAAGCCTGGCTGCAGCCAACGCCGTGCTCCGGTGTTCCCGCTCATCAAGCCATGAAAAGGTCTTTAAACTCTTCCTGCTGCGGTAAACGAGCCCAGGCGCTGCTTACCTTGACGCTTGCGTCCTCCGCCCCGAGCGCGGAGGAAGGGGCTGCCCGTCCCCTAACGAAGCGCAGCTCAGGGCTGCCCACGGTCGTGCAGGGCGCTGGGGTTGGAGGCGTGCTCGCAGCCAGGCCTCCTCACCCCCCTGCAGCTTCGGGGTTCAGTCAGTGCCCTCCCAGCCTCCCCGGTCCCGGTGCACCCCTCTGCAGCCTCGTGCCGCCCCGGCTGCCTGCAGCACGTGGGTGCCGGGGCAGTGCAGCGCGGCAGCGGGCATCAGCAGCTTGGGGTTTGCTTCGCTCCCGCTGGGAGGGCTTGGGGCATCTTCACCGCGAGCCGCAGGCAGAGCACCTGCCTGGGCACCGTTGCTGCTTTGCAGTGCCTGCAGATGGGCAAGGGGAGGCAGCAGGGTTCAGCCCCTCTGTGTCAGCCCATATCTGGGTGCCCCCCGCTTTTTACCCCCCCCAGCACCCCGGGGTGCATCTGCTTGAACCGGTGTCCCCTGCCCTCCCCTCACACCTCTTCCCTCCGCTCCCCTCCAGGACATTCGCAACACAGTGGGCAACATCCCCATGGAGTGGTACCAGGACTTCCCACACATCGGCTACAACCTGGAGGGCAAGAAGATCTACAAGCCCATCCGGAACAAGGACGAGCTAGACATGTTCCTGGAGAAGATGGAGAACCCCGACTACTGGTGAGCACGTCGGGGAGGGCCGCGTCGGTGCACGGTGTGACGTGCTCCCCACCTGGAGCGTGTGTGTCCACACACGTGCACACCAGGGCGTGAAACACCCCAACTCCCCGGAGCCTAGGGCTGTAGAGTACAGACTGGAGACCTCGAGGTCTCCCGGTGTGACTCCTGGCGTGTGGCTCCGGGAGGCCGGGGCTTCAAGGTAGTGGGGCTTGTACCACCGTCGGGGACGGATGCTGCAGTCCAGCCCTAACCCTGTCCCATCTGGTTCCCTGCAGGCGAACGGTCCAGGACAAGATGACGGGTGCAGACATAAAGCTGACAGACGAGCAGGTGGACCTGGTGCATCGGCTCCAGAGAGGGCAGTTTGGGGATGTCCACTTCAATCCCTACGAGGTAGGGTCGGGGTGCACCCTCTGCGCTTGCTCCGGGTGCTGGGTTGCCGCAGGACGGGCAGGGGCAGCACAGGGGCCCACCCCCCAAGGGGCCGTGTCTACCCCGCCCCCCCCTG